GGTTTCCCTGAGGAAAGAGGAGAATTCACTCTGCTGAGTGACCTCACATCCGAGCCCCCACGTCCTCCCCTCCGTTCTTCCCCAGTAACCCCTAGAGAAGGGAGGCCGGAGGCCAGGAGGCTAGGTCTCCTGCAGACAGCTGCGAGAGTTCATTTTCCATTTTGCAAACTAATTTTGTTCTTGTCAGTTGCAATGCTCTGCCAAGTGGTGGATGGGAATTTCTAAATCAAAAACCACTAACCTCAAACCACAACCAGCCTGTGTCAAACTTCAGAAACTACTCCCAAACCAGAACGTATGGTAATAATACTGTAACTATTTGTAAAATACTGCCAGGTTTGTCACGTTTAGAAAATTCATAGCATGTTTTTGGCACACAGTCTATTCAGAGTAATGGCGATAAAGACATATATATAAAAATGTATGTTTAATGGCCCTATTTATTTTATTGGTGCAAGACAGTAAGTTAGCTAAATCTGCCGTATCAATCCGCATGGCTCAGGTAGGATTAGATCCTGCAAAGCGAGTTGTTTATGTCCTTTAAACCAATTATGCTGAAAGCATTTGACTTTTTATCAGAAAATGCTGCAGACCTTCTTGTTGCCATGGTGTGTGTGTGTGTGTGTGTGTGTGTGTGTGTGTGTGTGTGTGTTTACATCCTCTAGCTGAGATGCCTTATTTCACTGGGGGAAACAATGCTGAAATGTTTTAAGGTATGAAGTCAAAAGCAACCCTGACAACTTGTGCAGCTCTTTCATTACTTTCATTGCCTTGACGTGAACCAGTAACCCCAGGGTAACACAAACCTTCACCTGAACATCCAGGCCCCACCCTCTGAAAGAGTTGCTCGGAGTCTTGACGGGAGATTAGGAGCAGAACAGAGCTGGGAAATGCTAATGAAGTCCACTGTGAGGCAGTAAGAAAGCAGACTCTTAGCTCGAGAACTGGCAGGGGGCGAAGGCCAGGTAAAGGTATTTCTGGCGAAGATGCCAGTGGAGATAGTGAGGAGGAGGTGGGATTATTCAACAAGAGGTGAATCACCCTCAGAAAGTCAAACGGGAAACCCGGCTATCTTTCTCCTTCTCTGCACCCAGGCTGCCAACACAGCGTGTGCCAGTCACATCACCACACCAGGGGCAAAGTGCGACTTACTTTCATCCGGTGAGAGCCGGGCCTTCCAGCCCTGCCGCCCGCATGCAGGGCCTGGAGCTCCGACCCTGTTAGGTCAAGTCAGCACATGCCAGAGAAGTGGACACTCGTCTTCATCTGACATGCAAGTTTCCAACTACATCCCACAGGAACATTCCTCTGACATGCTCAGCATCCCTTTTACTGACCTCCAAATGCTTCCCAGGCTCCATTAAGTCCTATCCAAATACTCTTTGTTTTTTTCAGCCCCTAATTCAATTCTCATTCTCCCTCACTACTGTATGATTTTCATTACGGAAGAGATGATTCATTAAGTAGTCTCACTTAACACTTCTGGAGGTCTTCAGTAGCTGGACAGCATACTAGGGAATCCGACGTGGTATGGTAGAAAGAACATAGTTTTAACCTGGCTGAGTCCTGCCTGAATCATTCTGTAGCTGTGCAAACTGGAGCAAATGATTTCACTATGGTGAGCCTCAGTTTGTTTATCTTCACAATGGGACTAATGATGCGTGAGGTAGATACTACTATAAGGATGAAAGAGATGATATTTGTACGTCATTGGCATGGGTCCCCTGACAGTTAAGCCTTACCTCGCCTTCCTCTGGCTGTCTTCCTCTGTTAAATTGCCTCGCTGTATCTCCAAATGGGTCCCACCCATTCTGTACTTGTTTCTTATTGAGTCACAGACCCATGTAAAACTCCTATCTCGGCAGAGCAGAGGCTGCCCTGCAACCGTCCCTCCCTGTCTCTGTCCCTTTCTCCTGCCTTCCCTCTCCCCTTTCCCACTAGCTTTTTATCCTGAGACACAAATATCCGCAAGTTTCTTTTGTCCTAAAAAGAACCTTCTCTCAGTCTGCATCCTGATCTCATTTTAAAAACTGTTTTATAATTAAAGTTCATAGAAATCGCTTTTCCCAAAGTGGCCTGGAGCTCTGCTGAGGGGGTGAGAAACACGTGTATAACGTTGGAGGTGAGCCCTGGTGGGGCAACTCTGCCTCAAGGTGGCCGCTTTCATTCAGGCAGAGCCCAGACTATGCCAGGGGCGTGATGCCAATATTTGCAAGACCTTCAGCATCGTTGCATGCCTTGTCAAGTGTTTAAATACCTTCAAAAATTCTACCATAGACTCCAAGGGTGTTTGTCTGACTTAAATTCCAAGGGCTTGTTTTTCATCCACCATTTTTTAAAAAAGTATTTATGTACAGCATTGAATTCACCCTTGTGTTCAAAGCTCTGGACTATGTACTTCGAATTCTGTGTGAGTGTTATCCAACTTCTCTTGCACTTGTGCAGTCAGAAACTGGATATCCACTGTCAGGGAGTCTGAGTAGAAAAGCAGCACTTCACAGGTCGTACACTGACCTTGGGAAGCATTGCTTTATTCTTAATTGAGACTAAGGCTTCAATCCTGGTATCTTTTTAGTACTCACTCGTGGTTCATCTTTTCCTGTCCATTGGCTCCTCCTTCATTACTCTTCCACACGATCTCCTTCCTAGACAAGATCTGGTTGAGCCATTGTCTGGCAAACAAGCCCATGGCTTCCTGTTCACGTATCTTATGCAGCAAAAGACCACTTTTCCTCCTCCCTGTGTGTCCCATTCTCCGCATCATTAAGGATGTAGTCAGACCCCACATCCCTCATAAAGTCTGCTCTGACCTTACAGTGGGAGACAAGTCCTCTCTCTCCTGGACTCCCTCAGGGTTTCTAGCTGGGCCATGAGGCTAAGCCACCTGTGACAATTCTTTCTCATCTCCCTGATCTATTTCATTATTCAGTGTGGTCTGTGTGTGCTCTCTCTCCTCTCTCTCCTCCTTCTCTCTCTCTCTCTCTCTCTCTCTCTCTCTCTCTCTCTCTCTCTCTCTCTCCCCCCCACTGCTAGTTAGCCTGCAGGGTTCTAGCAGGCAGAGATCATTTCTTTCCTCCATGACCTTCCATCCTTAACACACCCTCTACATAGTAGGGACATTGTATGTCCCTGTTTCCAATATCTCCCCAGTATCATCCCACTCTAAGTGATGCCCACTTTCTTTCTGACTCTTTCCACAATGTAGAATTTTTAAAAATATATATTCTGCATTGTTTTCTTCCACCATATTTGGTTTCAAATGTGTCTAAATAAACGTTAGCTATCCCTTCTTCTGGCCATTAATTCGTAAGTCCAAGAAGATTGCAAAGTGAATATCCACTGTGTGCAGGATACTATACCAAGTGCTTATATTAAAGACCTTCAAAAACTTACTAGATGCGGTGGCATATACCTGTAACCCCAGCACTCTGGGGTGCTGAGGCAGGAGGATCAAAAGTTCAAGTCTTGCCTGGGCAATTTAGCAACTTAGCAATATCCTGTCTCAAAATATAAAAATTAGGAAAAGAAATGGGGCCTGGAATGTAACTCAGTGGGAAGACTCTGAATTTGATATCAGGGGGATCCAGAAAATTTAGAAGACATGACACAAAAGGACAAGGACAAGAATGAATAGATAGATGATAGATAAATGATAGATCCATAGATAGATAATAGAATCTCAATACCGAAAAATATAAGTAGTGCAAATTCATTAATGAAAAAGTTTTAGGGATTTATAGAAGCCTCATTAGACTGGATTGCACTTAACTGAAGGAAACTGTCTTGGGATAGGGTATTCAGACTCAAGTTTTTAAGAAAGAAGGGACCACAGGGTCTCAAAGCGCAGAGCTCATTTTTACATTTGCTCACCATCATTTCCCCGCCACCTACCACAGTGCCTGGTTCCCTAAAAACATTTAGTGTCCAGTAAACCAGTGAATGGCCAAATGGTGAAAGAAGGAATAAACTCCACGTGGAGAAGACAGCCACACAAAACGAGCAAGCAGTCATGCTGGGGAGATGCCCACTTATTTTCTTGGCTAGAAAGAAGAAATGATGTTCACAGCGATAGACAGGAAGGAGAGAAGAAATAAGAGGAATGACATTAAAAGTCCTGCTGGAAGTTTGGGTTACTATCTATTTATCCATTTATATTTATTAAGCATCTACTATGAGCGAAGGCACTACACTAAGACCTAAGGATTCTATAGTCAGCAAACATAGTCTCTGCCTTTGAAAATTGTGCACCCCTTAAAAATCTTTTTTATTAGTACGTGTTTGCAGTACGTAATGATTATGCAGCCTTTTCATTGTGAGCTGGAAAGTGGCAGCACACATGCTCCTGCTTCTTATTCTAACAGTATTTAGTACAAGAGAGCAATTTTCCCAGCCTCAGTCATAGATGGCTCCAGCATAGAGCAGAAGCCTTAGCTAAAACGAGCTCTAGTATGGGATACGTCATATTTACCGATGATGTGAAGGCCACAAGGAGCATTTCAAACTTGAGGAAAAACTCTACCTGAAAGGGTGTCTGGGGTTTTAGAATGGCCAATCGAGTAGAGGTGGAACAAACCTGAGTTTACTTACAGCCTGCATGAACACAAGTCTGCCAGTGTCCTTGGCTTCGGGTCTGCATGATGGGTCAGAAATGGGGGAAATGTATGCATGCTGATTTTAAGGGGAGCTGTCCACATTAACTTTCTCTTTAATATACATGTTAGAGTTCAGTTTAGAAACAAATCTCTGAGATTCAGGTAACACCAAGACTATTAATTGCAGAAGAGATATGGACATGAGTAAGACCTTGAAAAGTACTTCCGATAACAGAGTTTCATGAGAAGACCTTGGCTGGCTTGTGTCTGCATCTTCTAAATTCTGAGTTTACAGACTGGGACTAGAAGAATCATGGGACTTCATTTCCCAGGAATCTCATTTATTTTCTCCTTCTTTCTTCCCTCCTTCCTTCTTCCTCCCTTCCTTCCTCCATTCCTTCTCTCCAGGATGATGGCCTTCCAGAAAATGAGCATCAGCTGTCAGTAGCTGGAAAGATAAAGAAGCATTTCAACACCGGCCCCAAGCCGAACAGCACCGCCGCTGGAGTGTCTGTCATAGCAGTAAGCATCTGAAATAACCACCTCTAACTTTTTAAAAGCAACCTCCCTAAGAGACAAGCATTACTCGAGGGATTCCACCCAGAGACAGCAGAATGGGTCATTTCTTTAGACAGCTCTACCACTTAATGCGCAAGAGGCGGTGTGGGGCTTGTATATGTGAGTGTGTTTTTACAGATCATTTCCCTGGGTGTCAAATCATTATCCAACACCTCCAGGGTATCTTGCAGTATATATTAGTTTCATGATTTATTTTTTTTTTAGAGCAAAACCTCCCCCACACTGGATTCTGTGCCAATACAAACATTTTGGCTCTTCAGAAAAGAGTTCACAGTGTCCTTTGGCCAAGACCTAGAAGGAAAGGGAAACTGGGACAGACAATACAGCAGAGAGAGCCTGGAACACTACCAATCTTTATACTAGACCTAGACTAAAACCAAAACACTGCAGAAAGCCTACATAAGATTTTCAGTGAGACTGAATTGCTGTGAACACCCAGTGAAGTCACGATGTTGTGCTCCTTATAAATTTCTGTTCTTAAAGTTGAAAGCCCTTTATTATTCACCATTTTATTGATACCGCTGTGCAAGATTTCTTTCTTCCTTCCTTTCTTTTTTTTTTGTTCTGTTCTATGTGTGCAGACATACATTACATGCAATTTGATAGCTGCTCTAGGCAAAGATTAAATTGGACCAAGAAATAATGAAACCTCATACTTCCTGGTATCATATTCTAGGGTAAATATATTTAAGTCCTAGATTACTGGAGTTTTTAATAATTTCCTCTTTTTCCAGTGTATGTAAATGTTAACAGCACATTCAATGTGAAAATCACTTCAGCTGGTTTTTTTTTTCTGAACGATGAACTTAAGACATTATGATGTCAAATTTTTAGAAATTATTAATGTTATTCAGCATTCCCTCATTCTCCTAGGTAGTACTGAATATTTAACTCCTTCTGTGGGTATTTCTATTTTCTTTCTTTCTTTTTTTTTTTTCTTTTTGGCTTTGCTAGAGCTCCAAATAAATCTAAAATAAATGACCTACTGGATGCAACCAGTCCCAGATCTGGGTTACTAAATATTTGATATGGGCTTCTAGAACTTGAGAGTGGTATAAATGCATGCATACACACTGTGTACTGTTTGCATTTCCTTTTTCTCAATTGAACCTTTTCAACAGTGAATTCCATGTGTATGGGTAGCTGGCACATGAGTAAACAGCTGGTGCTAACTAGAACGCATACTCTTTCGGTTGCTCCTCAGAGGTGCTGAAGTTTTAAGATTTCAAATTGTTCTTCTCGTCCTCTCTTTGGTTCTCTCCAGATGGTCAGTGTTCATTATCAGCTGATAGTCACTCAGTAACTTTTGCAAGTAACAACCTCACCATGATGCTCAACTAAATTCAACCTTCTATGCTCTGTTTTCATTGTTCATCCAAGATGCAAGTCTGTTCCAAAGCGCTTGATTCTAATTATGCAGAGTTTTCTTTTGGAATGGGCTGCCAGCACGCTTGTCCATGAAAAGGACTGCTTTTCTGCCCCTGCGCAGGGCCCTACTGCTGCTAATGAGACTGCCTTTTCCACCTTGTCATTTCCTTTTTGTTTTCTTTTTACCTGGTCTTTTATTTTAATTAGTCTTTGGTTAAGTTTGCCTTGGTTGCTCAGCAATGATTTGTTCACAGTATTCTGGGAGGCCCATAAGGACTAAGCGCAGAAACTTCAGGGCAGTTTTCCAGGTTACAGATAACAGATCTGTAGGGGAAAGTCTTATTTTAATCAAGTGTGGTTAAATTCTGCAACCTGACTCTTATGAGCTTATTGAACCCTCATCTAAATGTACCTCAAAACACTCCAATTCGTATTTGAAGTGCAAAGGCCCACTGACTGTTTTTTCTAAATATCGTGGTTGGACCATTTTGAATGCAATTTTTGGTGCAGATTTCTCAGTTCATCACCAACATGTTTTCCATGAAAACTGCACAAACTGGTTATATATACATTGTGAAGCAGCCTGTGTAATGCTCCTACACATTCACTGCATGCTTGTTCAATGTTTCTTCATCCCTACAAAGCTTTTGCTAAATTATTAACTCATACTCAAATTAATTGGAAAAGCATCTTAAAACATACCTTGTAAGTTCTTGAGCACAATCCATATGTGAGTGCCATTAATATTTCCAGGATGAAAGAGAAAGTGTAAATTTTTGAGGCTGTTTCAAGAAAAAAAATTATCCACCGTACTATGTGCCTTTGGGCACCTTTTTCAGGACACTTTTCCTCAAAAAAGTCCCTACTTTCCACAAAAATCCCAGGGAGGTCATGAGTCCCAGGGTGGGCTGTAAATTAGAAACTGGGATAGCAATGTATATCCATTTTTAAAGCTGCAAAGACCAATTATTATGGGTCTATCTCAAGAAAAAAGGAGTCCTGGCATTAAGTAATATTCACTTAACCCTTAAATGTGACTGCCAAATCAGAACATTTTATCGTGAGGCAGAGTATAATTGGAAGGTGGAAAAAATACCATTTGTAAATAGAATATTCTATAAAGACTACTGGACAATGTAATAATTCAGAATAATTATTGGTTTGCCACATCATGAAAAGTTCTGTAATTGACTTAACACACTGTTGACGTCTATTTGATAGATGTACTAAAGTTTATTTCAGTATAAATTTTATTCACACAATTCTTCCTGGGCAAAATTCTCTCTCTGGAGGCTACACAATAATTTAATTTATTTTAAACTTCCATATCTCAGGACTGACTTTTTGAAAATCATATACAACTTTCAGATTTTTGAACAGTTTAGATTGTAGTGTCAGTTTGTTTTTATTTTTATAGGAAGCCAACAAATAAAGCATTAGTCTTCACCAGACGCATCTCTTTCCTTAGTTAGAACTCTAACTACCTGCTAGAGGTCGATCACGCTTTTAATGAATTTATGACACTTTTCTTTGTTAGAATGGCAAAAGGAAGATGAGCACGCTGTCACAACAAACAGACTCTATTTACGGTATAATTACGACATGAGCATAGTTTAACACGTACTGGTAGTCTGAACCATAGTGTTTTTGTTCATGTTGTCATTTTTTCTTCTCTGTTTCCCACTCCCTACATCATTAAGACCAAAAGCAGGACAGATGATAACTTTATAGGAAGGTTGCATGAAGGGCTTGAACTGGCAAGGAAAGTAATTACTAGCTGAAGGTACCTGGGCATCACCAGGCCTTCTGAAAGGAGGAAAGGTGTCCTGACACGGGGTCAAGCAATGGGATTAGATAGCTGTCAGTAGAACTGCAACATTCTGTCCCTTAGAAAAATTCCATTGTGCCTCTGTTATCTTTCCCAGCGCATAGTTAGGAGATTTAAAATAAACACACACACACACACACACACACACACACACACACACAGGAGAAAGGGAAACAAAAGGTTATTAAAATGCAATTTATAGACATAAAATGGAATTAGAGATGACATTTTAACGGTGGACTTTTTGAGAGCTGAGGGAGGAGAGGGAGGCATTATTAGATTTGCTCAGCTTGATGAAGAACCGATGACTAAGATGTCAGTTCCAATTTATTTTTCCCCATTTAATGCTGTTTATTATTTTAACCGATAATTTTCCTAATGCTTTAAAGCTCTTCTTTTGAATTTTGCTCACGCAAATAGAGCATTTCAGTCTAATTGAACAAATCCATACTAATCAGTGTGCATATAATTGTGATACTGGGAAGCTTATTTCTGAAATGACCTTATGGCCTGCGGTATGAAACTTCGCCTGTAGATGGCAGTAGAGAACTAGTTACTATGTGCACATTTTTATGGCCTAAAGCTGTATTACACACCATCTTCCTAAGAAGTATACTTCAAATTTTTAAAAAAAAATTAATAAAACAAAATAAACGTTTTTTAAAAGATTAAAACCCCAGGTTTCTTTCCACGAACAATGGGATAGCTTGGTTTCTAATCAGAACACCAAATCCTCCAAGCAGTTCTTAGTTTAAATGCTTGATGCCAGGGCACGTTTGTGAAAGGCCTTTGTGAATTTAGAAGTAGGAACTGTCAACTGCATCACACCAGCAGAACACTTGAAAGAGCTCATGAGTCCCTCTCTAAAGAAAAGTGTCCAGGTTGCATCCTACCACGGGCAGAGTGGGGACGTGGACGTGATCATTGTTTCTCCTGGTTTTGAGATTAAATCTTTTACTCCCAGGTAGTCAAAAGTGAACAACTCATTCCAGGATAAACAACTTTAGAAACTTATCTTGTCTTCTACTTATTGTGCCTTTTATTATTTGTAAGCACCTTACATATGCATTGTTAATATACAGTGAAAATTATATTCTGTTTAATTTGACTCTCCTAGAGAAATTTTACTGACTTTTATATTATATCTTTGTAGTTGAGAAATGTAATTAGGACAGCTAATTACATTTAAGGACAGCTCTGCTTTCAAAGATTAACTCTTAAAGAAAATAATCCAAATGGCTGTGATTTGTAGGGTTTTAAAACCTAATTCTATTTCTTTTATTTTATATTTATGAAACCCTCAGATTTAAAACTAATGGGGCAGTATTTCGGGGAGAGGGTCCAATCTGCTTTCTCTTAGGTGGCTAAAAAAGATTTCAGTACTTTATTTAATTACGAAGCGTTTTCACGCTATACTAGATGAAAAAGCGTTTGTACCTTTTGAAATTGAGAGGACATTATTAAATGCGCATTCCAAAGCCTGTTTGGCAAATTAGAGCTGTGCTAACAAATTGGCCGCCAAGATTTTCATGAGGGATTAGTGTCTTTTCTTGCCTTTCTATTTCCAATGTGCAGATTTACGCTATTAACTAGTTTCCCCGCAGAAGAGGCATCGCCACTATGTGTATACCTTTCTAGTTAATGGAGAACAGCTTGGTCTGGAGTCTTAATTCTTTAGCACAATGTTGATCCACTGAGTTGCCCCATTTCTCTCTGCTCAGCTGGACCACGGGTTTACCATCAAGAG